ATACTGCGGGAATGCGAATATTGAGGGAAAACGCGACAACTCGATTTAACTGGTCCGAAGAGTCGAGAGGGGAAGAGAAGGAGAGAGAGAGAGAGAGATAGAGATAGAGAGAGAGAGAGAGAGAGAGAGAGAGAGAGAGAGAGAGAGAGATAGAGAGAGAGAGAGAGAGAGAGAGAGACAGAGGGAGGGGGGATCTCGCAAATTAGAAAGAGGAAGCGTCCATCGTTTTTGCGAGGCTGCGCGCGTACAACTACACCGAATTGCGAGAAAAAAAATGCGGCGTGCGAAAATTCGCGGGAACCCAGGAAGTTCCGCGAACAATGGCGGCGACTCCCGATGTCGCATCTGGGAGGAAAGGGAAGAGGAAAGAGAAAAATTCGCGGGAGCTTCCCCGGGAAGCGCAGCGTGGAAAATTCCCGGTTAATATCATCCTGCCAGAAAGATAGAGACGGAGAGAGAGAGAGGGAGAAAGAGAAAGGGGACAAAGAGGGAGAGGGGTAATGCGGGATCATCTCGCGCCGGGAAATCCATTATTCTCCGATGCAAAGCGCCGCGCATCGCTTCCGCCCTTGGAAATTGTTCGGCGCGAGAGCGTTCTTAATCCTCGCTACACGTGCTTCCGCTTCCGGCGAGTATCGCCGCGGCGCGAGTCCATTGAAGGGCTCGCGAAAACGCGCGCAAAGTTACACGTACGGTTATATTCATATAACGTATTGTTCCTCGATTCCCAGCGGCCGTGTAACTCTTTTCGACGTAGCGATAGTTGGAGAGTGGTAAAATCGGAAGGTGAATCCCGGTTTTTTCCTGCATAGAGTAGGGAACGAGAGAAGAAGGTAAGGAAATATAGACAAAAGCACACGGAATATCCGCGCGTTAAAAAGAAACAAAACAAAACAGGAAAGCAACAATAGAAGCTGAATGTCTAGAACGGCGAAACGAAGTAGTCCTCGCGCAGAGGTTACCGGAGGGGAAAGAAGTGCACGAGAAACGGCGACTACGCTTACAGATAAGACCAAGAAGACAGGTTTGCCGTTAGATAATACGAAGAAACGCAAAGACGACGGAGTGAAGCGCGATTAACTTGGATTAACGGTGATATCGGGGACAGTCATCGAAGAGTTAAGCATAGCCGACGCCTCGAATACATCGCGGGAAACTCCAGAGGAATTCTCTTTCTCCCTTCTCCGACTTGACATTTGTGTCTACTTCAAGTTTGCAATTCCGCCGAACTTGAGGAACGAATGAGGAGGAGTCGCGAGACACGATGAATACTGCACGGACTATTGTTTTATCACGACGAAATGACGGCAGATTACGAATTTCCATCTGCCGATTCCCGCTAAGCTTTGTCATTCGGTGCAACAAATGGTGCGACATACCTGGGAACATGTCGCTGTCCGCGTCTCGACATCCTGCGTCCTGCTTCCTGCTTTCCCGCGACTCGACATCCTGCTCTCGGTTGCTCCGTGGCTTCGGACCCTCATCGGCGCTCACTGACACTCGCGGAGATACGTACGGCTCGATCGGATACAAACTCGCGTTAACTCACGCGACGGCCCGGCGGATGAAATATTTCGATGGCCGACGAGGTACTTTCATCGGCCGACCGGAATTATAAACGACGCCCCGAGGCGTGCGCGTCGCTCGTCGACTCGAGACGCAATGACTCGCGGACAATGACACGGGCAGCGCGTGGAACTATCGTGACAATTGATGTTTTTCGAAAGGTCAGAGTGACCTCTCGGCAATCGTGGCAACCGTTGTCGCTCGCCGGGCTATGAAGAGCGCATACGGCGGTCGTGAAAGCACAACAATGAAAAGAATTTGCAGATGGCGAGATCGAGGTGGCGAAATTATCGAGCTGTCGCGCGATTATCGATTATCGCTGTTTCCGATCGACTCGTTCTCTCTCGCGCGACACCATCGAGCGTCGTCTGCCAATGGTAGCAACTAGGAACTGAATCCGGGGATGGAATACAGGACGCAGGATGTATAAGGACAATCATATCGACGAACTACAATTCCTTTCCTCGCGTCTTTCCCAGTTGTATGGACATTTATAACGCTGCAGAATATAGAGGACAATATAAAGAGTAGGTGATGCAGGGCGGAGAGAGAGAGAGAGAGAGAGAGAGAGAGAGAGACTTGTCGCTTTCATTCACTCACTTATCTGTCGCCGCTCGTATCCGGCAATTCAAGTCTCTCGCGATTTCGAAATCGCGGATTCAGCGGACGCGTCGCGACACCGCGGCGGACGGAATTCGCCGGTGTCTGGCGAGGATGCGACACGGGACGCATTCGGATCGATGCGGAGAATACCGCATCATGTGAAGCGAGATTGGCCGGATCCAGGAGCTTGTTCGCCGCTCGCTCGCTCGCTCGCTCGCGACCCGGGCCAGCTCGCGCGCGACCTTGGCCCGCATTTCAGAAATGCAGCTGCGCGCGTGGCGCCACATGCATACCCGAGCGTGTCCACTCGCATACGTGCATACGCGATCGCGGCCTGTCACCGGAGAGTCGTGTCGAGCTAACCGACGAGACATAATCGACCAGGGTGGTGCAAAGGTCAAACGAATTCCTAAGCGAATACCTTACGTCTCCATCGACGTCGTCATCAGGCTCGGTAGATTCCAACACGCGACCCACGACACATGAGATCGGGAGAGGATCGTGATCGCGTACAAAATCAATAGCTCGGTGAAAACGAGGTCGAACGCGCTCCTCGGTGATATTCAACTCGCCTGCGATTTTCCGGACGCCTCGCAGCAGTCGGGGTAATTAAAACGCACGCTCGCGGTCGTCGCCGCGTAGAGAGAAAAAGAAAGAGAGAGAGAGAGAGAGAGAGAGATGCTGCGATAAAAATGCAGCCGCATCCCCCGTGCATCGACGAGAGACGGCCCGGCGGCGAGCCGAATGGAAAAAGCTGCAAGGAATTTCGCCGCGGCGAACTTTCCGGACCGCAACGCGCGTATGTATGTACATATATGTGAAACGAAGACCGCCAGGAACAAAGACGAGTTCGCCAATCAACGGCGGAATTGTTCCGATCAAACGGGATGAAAATTACCGTATCGGCCAGCTTTGTATTTTCCCGCCGGTATCTTCTCTCTCTTTCTCTCTCCTTTTTTCAGGGCGCGATTGTTTCTCCCCGTAAAGCTGGGGCGCGATGCAAAACTCTGTATACCTCGAGATGACAGGGGAGCCGAGGAAGAGAGAGAGAGAGAGAGAGGACTACGCGAGGAAGGATCTCTCTTTGGAACTCGTTGATTAAGTTTAATTAAACGTCCGGACGCGTCGTCGCAATTTTTCATCGACAGCCGAGCTGCTTCCGCGCGCAAAAGAGCGTCTGCGTCGAACGAAGCCGCGTCGCATTGTATCCCGTCGCTAGCCCTTGTCGCGAATTACCGGTCGCGACCGATTGCAACAGCGGTGGCGTTTCGCCGAATGGACGAACGAACGAGCACGCGAAACCGCACGACCCGAAACGGTCGGGTGGCTCGCTGTAAATTCAGGAAACGGCGTTACTGGCCAGTTTATACACACGCTCGGAAATGGAGAGGCGCGGCGCGGCGCGGCGCGGCGCAACGCGCGCAGGTGCGCCAAACTTTCGCGGCCGGTGCTCTCGCGGCTTAATGCAATATTCCATTCATGGTAATGTTTAACTGCGGACCGACTGACTTCCAGCGGCGCAGCCGCGTCTGCTCCCGAAGTAGTCAAGAGTGCAATTAGTTCTTCCTCGCGTTCTATCCTCCGTCCGCGCTTTCTCGATCGAGCCGAACTTTTCACGTCCTGCCGGAAGGAGCACGGAGGGAGAGAGAGAGAGAGAGAGAGAGAGAGAGAGAGAGAGAGAGAGAGAGAGAGAGAGAGACGGGGGAGAGAGGAAGAGGAAGACCTACATCGTTCTCTCGCCGGTGAAGTTTCCTCGAGCGGTGGCAGAGAGATTGGATTAGGTCGGATCGGATTTATCAAAAGAGCTCCAAGGGAGAGATCCAAGTCTCGGAAATATTTCAAGATACACCGCGGAATATTTAAAAATGCAGTCGGCGGTGCGGGGAGAGAAGGAGGGGAAGACGAGCCTGAGCGCGCGTGTGCGTGCGTACTTGAAGTACGCAAGTTGCGTCGCCAATCGAAGATGCGGATCGAAGTCGCGCGTATTGAATGTCGTGCGATCCGGCTTTTTCTTTTTCTCCTCCGACAGTTAGCTCCCCCCTCGTCGCGGTTAATACGCGTCGTCAGACGAATAGATCACTACGGGCGGGTTGATAAAAATACGAGGAGATAAAAATACACGCGAGTGTGGAAGCGAAGAGCGGAAAGGGGAAGAGTCCCAAGCGCGAGCGAGGAAACTACCTTCGACGCGTATTGTCTCCAACTTTACCTCCACATGCTGCCCGCTTAATCCTATTCCGCGTGTCCGACGACGACCTTAACCCGCGCGCGCGCGCATCCCGAACAGCACAGCCTTCGGCTGGAATTCGAGAGAGGTTAACAATGAACAGACAGGTGAATAGGAAGAGCAGAGTTGACGGCGCGTAAGCTTCGCGGTGGACACGTATCGTGTCCGGAGCAATCCCGGCCTCCGTGACTGCCGGGCCAATTCGATAATCCCCTGATCCATCGGCAATTAGCCCTCGCGCGACAGCGAGCCCCCCCCCCCACGCTCGTGCGATAACGATTGTTCTCGTTTCGCTCGACCTGCTTTGCGAATTAACGACGCGACGAGTCGGCGGCGAGGACGCCAGACGAGCGCGCGCTGTGCGATCTCTACACTCGTAGAATTCGCGCGTTCTGCAGGATCTTACGAAAGGATACGGTGCAAGGAAACAGAGCAACTTGCGTCGAGCAAAGTCGCGCGAAGACGAAGGCGCGAGTTTCGGCTTGGGTTCATCGGAAGTGACGCGACGCTATGTGCCGCGTCTTTCTTCGACAAATGTGCGCGTGGGTGTATTCGGCGAGCAGGATCGGCTCGCGTCTCGTAAAAGGAACTTGATAGGACTCACCGTGAGACATCCTCCTGGGAAACGGCGCGTGGCGTCCCGGCGCTGTGCAGGGCAAGGGAAGACGCGTGGCGCGACTCCTGCGAGTACGGCAATGCCGCGGTGTTGTTCTCCAACGCCGACACTGAGCCATTTTGCTTGCCTGCTTGTGCAAAAAATCGGAGAACATGCTTTATTATACTCGTGTCAATTAGACTGCAATTATCGGCTTTTCAACGAAAGCCGCCGCTCTTTCCCTCACGGTGCATCGCGGACTAGTTTCAGACTGCTCGATATATTTTTTCGAGCCTGAACTCACGGTAGTTTGAGTATCCGTGAACGTGAGATTCAAATTTTCCTCGAGCATCACTGTGTGTAAAACACACAGCTGACAAAAATCAATAAAAAAAAAATAATGAATAATCAACGAATCTCGGATAAATCTCCACACCTCAATATTTGAGCAGATCTGCCGCTTCCACAGGGATTCAATTCGCAAAATACAAATTACGATATTAATATATCGCATATTACGTATTAATCACCGCAACATGATTGCGATCAACGTGCGTGGCGCACAGGACACGCGATTAAAGTCGTCCGTGCGTACACCGAGGCCGCGAATGTCGAAACTAATGCGTGTATCCTCCAGATTTGACTTGTCAGCCCGCGCGGCGCGTCCGTTCGCGTGGGTGCGCGCCGAATAAAAAGCAAAGCGAGAGAAGACAAACACAGGTAAGCCGCGGTAGAAAACAGCGTTTGCGAGCCGGCGAGAGCGCTGGTTTGTTTATTCGCTCCGCGATGCTTTCTCCGGGAAGCTCCGGCGAAAGCATCCCGCTTCCCGCTTCCCGCTTCCCCGCTGGCTGAAGATTAAAGCAAATATTCGAATAATCCCGGGAGCGGCGATCCGCCGCGGCACTAAAGGAGCAATTTGAATTCAACTCGCATCGAACACCGCCGTGCTCGCGTCGGGCCTCGCTTTTTTCCGCGCTTGTGGCGACGGCGGCGGCGGCGGCCGCCCCCGACTGTGTTATTTGCGTTGCGGCGCACATCCTGCCCATTTGGGGCGAGGTGTAAGGAGAATTAATATGGAAATATTGCATGGAATGCGGCGACGAGCGACGTTTTAGCGAGTCTCGCATACTTTCGGGAAGCGATCGAATTGTTCGGCATTTGCGCGTAATCGTTGGCGTGAAAACGGCTGATGAGTCGATCGATCGATCGATCGATCGATCTCATCTCGGCGATCAGTCTGCGCTGCGTCTGCCAATTCCGCTGAAGAGAATTCCGCTGAGCCGGCACAACCGTGCGGAATTTTTCCGATGCCACGCGAGCGACAGCATCGAATTTTAACGTCGCACTCCCGAGATTTCCCCGATCTCGGCACGTTCTCGCCGATGAGAACGGTTCGCGGCGCGCACGCGTTCGCGAAAAGACAGGGCTAGAGGGAGAATGGAAGCAAGTCAGAGCCGCCGCGGGAACCGAGGGAACGGGGCGACGAGTTTACGAGGCCCCCGCTTTACGAGACCGATGAATAAGTTACAGCTCGATCGTCGGGAAAGCCCGGCGACGGGGAAGAACAGCGGATCAAAAATTCATTTCCGCGCGAAACCGGAGGGGGGCTCTCGCCCGGTGTTTATTTCCAGCGGGAGGGAGGGGGGAGGGCGGCCGAGAAGAGAGCAGGCGGGAGGACTGATTGAGGCTCGTGACGGGGAGGGGGAGGGAAACGGTTCATTTGAATTTCAATGCGTCGCGCGCGGCTCTGAATAATTAATAGGACGTCGTAATTATTATTTCGATCGAAGCCACGCGGCGGTGGAAAAGCGGAGAAAAATGCGACCGCGCGACGCGGAGGCGACGTTTCTTGCGGGGTGGTTATTAAATCGCGCGCGGTCGGAATTTTCGGGCACCTCCGTCGCGTAAATCACGCTGCCGCCGGGCTTCACGCCGTAATTTTATTTCGCCGTCGGCTGATTGATAGTCCGCGAAATTGTGTTTGCGTTTATATCGTACAACAAACGCGCTCTCTCTCTCTCTCTCTCGCCCTTCCCCCTCTCTCCCCCGACTCAGCCGAGTTTTCTTTAGAATTACAAGGTCGGCGAAATTGCGCGGCGCACCGCTGCTCGAAGAAGCACGACATTAAAACGGCAGATTCGAGGCCCGAGGTCTGCGCGATTACCGGAGCTCGAACGTGACGTCGATCAATCAGCCGACGTGAAATTACTATCCATCGCCGCGCGTGTCGACCTCCTCGTGGCAGTCTCTCGACATCCCCAGCGAACGAACGTACGTGGCGAGCGCACGTATGAAAGGCTCGGGAATCTGACAACTTACGTGGCTGAGGCGAGAGCGAATTGTCCGACGCTATCGGTGGAGGAGGCGGAGGTATCATTCCACGTTCCGGTTTTGCGACCAGAAGCACGACGCGATCTTGGGTCGCCTTCAGGGTCGCGACAGCCTCTTCGTGTGTCACGTTTTCCAGATTCTTGTCGCCGAAACCAATGTGCTGAAAGCAATACGACCAGCCTTTAGCGACGTACGAAACGTTTCCGTTCTTCGCTTCGCCTTATCGCGTGCAGCAACTTCGCACACGTATTCTCGCCTCGGGCGAGATTATTCTTACTCGAAGACGAAGACGAGACGAGAGATCTCGTTCCCCGAAGCGAGTGTGTTAACGTCGATTCGCTAATAGCCGCGAGCACGCGATAGAGGATCATCGCGGACGCGTCGAATTAGTCGCCGACACAGAAACCCGGCCTGTTACCTCAGTGGCAAAGGGGACAGTCCCAGCTTTCGAATGCAATTTACCCCGTGTCGCTGCGACTTTCTCACTCGAAGATATCGGCGAGCGGCGAATCGTCAAGGTGGGCCGGGCCTACTGACAATGTTGCGCGGCGCTCCCTTTGGCCGAGCGCGCCGCCGGCCGGCCGGCCGGCCGGAGAAGGCCGGAAGAAAGAGAGGTGTGAGGCCGGCGGCGCTAACGTACTATACAATGTACTGCGCACGCTCCCGTCGGCAAAGGATCGCGCGCGCCGCTCGAAAAAATGCTACCGACGCCGACGACGCTTCGAGCGGCCGTATCTCCGTGAAAAATCGACGCACGATCACGCCATTCTTCTCGGCGCATCACGCTGCACGCCTTTCGCCGTCGCGTATGTTCTTGTCACGACACGCGTTTATCTCGTATTATCACCGTGTCGATGACACGGGGTACACTGATAGAAAAATATAGTTGAATTAACTATAATCTCACTACATTTTATAGTTCATTTTGGCGTCAATCATATTTTTATTGTTCGTGGAACCTGCAAGATATAGTAGGATAAACACAAATATATAGTCAATGATTGTCTTAAATAATTGTTTAGTTACTTTCACCACATATATGGATAATTTCTCATTCACAAATATAGTGAGATTTAATATTCATATAGTTACAGCTCTGTCATCATTTAGCAAATATTCTCGTAATATTGACTATATAAAAGGGTTAGTTTACCTACCATTTTATATTTGTATCCGTACAATAATTTTAGTTTAACTTATTATAATTCTTAGTAAAAATATCATATGGTTGGTTATACTATGCCCATATCGTAATTACTACCGATATTATGGTAATACTTACTATAAATATGATATTTCGGACTATATTTAGTTACTATATCATTATAGTCCCAATTATCGTACACTTTTCTCTCAGTGTAACCGCGTTAAGAGCGAAAAAGGACCAACGTTTACAGCTTACGAGACAAGCGAATTTTTAAATAGATTAACAAATTGAAGACGTTAACGGCAGAGAAAGAGAGAGAAAAAGGTGTCGGAATATCCCGACTAGAAATTTTGATCAGGTTCAACTAACATTGATAAGGAGCTAATAGAGCGAATAAAAGGTAATCCTAAATAAGTCAGTCCTTATAATGTCCTAACGACAAATGAGTAAGGAAGACCTTTATAAGGTTATAATGATTTGGTCCATATTAGAACCTTAATGTACCAACCTAGTATGATATAATATGGTTCAGTTAATCAGGTCCTTGTCAGGATTTTATTCATTGTACCTAGTATGATTTGCATTATCAAGTTTTAACAAAAGAATCTTTGTGTGTCATTTTCAAATATAAAGATGTTTGCATTGAAAAAACACTTCAGATCACTTGAATATATTTGTAAAATGCTATAGAAATTATTCTTTTTAATAACAGTCAATAAATAGTTGTAAAATTAACGTGACATGTAACTTTTTCCTCTAACCCTTTATATCCTAAATTAATTTACTCAAGACCTTATTAAATTTTTCCGTAATTAAATAACTCTTGGCATATCATAAACATAAGACAGGAAAATAAATTTTGTAACAATTCAATGATTAAATTTTGACGTGGTATTTGTAAGTATCGACAGGAATGTAGGATAATACACGGGAAAAAGGTTCGAGAGCGCATATATAGAGCGGTACTTTGAAGTACCGCTACAGGATACAAAGGGTTAACACTATTTTATGTCTTTATGTCACCTTGTGATACTTTGTGATCTTATGATATTCATTTTATGTTTCTTTTCCGAAATATTTTACAAGTATGCTCAAGCGATCTAAAATATTATTTCATGCAAACATCTTTTTATTTGGAAATGACATGAAAGAATTCTCAGCGTGTCATTTCTTATTTCTAACGTCATCATCCAATATAGCCGTGGCGAGTAATCAGGAGCCATAATTTGAAAAAAAGAAAAAAAAAACGTAATAAGGGTTCCATAAGGTAACTCAATAAGGACCTGATTGACTATGAATCCTTACTAAGGTCCCGATATCCACGCTGCGTTACATGACTTACTAGGACCCGATAGTACTTACTTCTTTATTGGGACCTGATGTCCAAATGAGGTTAACCTGATCAGGGCCATGGGATAAATTTCTAGTCGGGATATCGACAGGTTGTCGACGATAAAAAATGTTGAAGGAGACTTCTCGTCGCACGAAACACAAAGTTTCGCGTACGCTTTGTACGAGAAATTTCGCGCGGAGATTTTCGTGCAACTTCCGTCGTTGCCTCCGAATGAAACGCTCTTTTCCCGATTGTGTGTTCCAACAGTGAGCTGCCGATATCGAAAACCTGATTATAATTTATAATACGACGCGACGCAGGATCGCGCCGGATATCGCGCGAACCAACCGACGTGGGTAGTGAGATACATATTTCCGCAGTCACGTCCGACGTCCGTGTGAAAGCTTGGCGCTTTATTCATTCCTCGTAAAGATATCGTCCGTTAGGACTCGTTCTACTTCTGCGCTCTTAATGGAGAAACCGACGAGGGAGAAGAGGGACCGCGCAGTCGACATGGTTGCGCACAAACAATCCGATCGCTCGGCGTCGCGTACCTCGATAATTGATTTTCCCCGCGTTCAATTTCCCCTGTCAATCGTTGCCCCCTTTTTCGCCCGCCAACGATGCTCCCCTTGAGACACTAAGAGGCAATCGGCCGCGATTATTATCAAGCCGGCGCGCACTGGGAGACGTCCGACACGCGGAAACCGTGACGCGTTACGGCCGTTCAGCAAATTTTCTCCTCTTACCGTTTCTCTCGAGAACGCTGCGGCTAAAGCGGCAGGCTTTCTGCCTCTATTTCTACCCGCCGCGACGAAACACGCGCAAGATCAATCAGAGCGATCGATACGAATGCCCGCGGCACGAATATCTGCTCTTTACCGTTTAGGATACTTCTTCCCCCTCGCTTCCGTTCCAGAAGGGATATTCGAATTCCCTTGTGTCGCAATAGCGACAGTCGCGATGGCGCACGCGAGGATTTACAGGATGTCGAACTCAGCTGTACTATCGCTCAGATACGCTAGCTATTCGGACACGCTTTAGCTCTAGGAATTTTATTTTATCTATATTTTCTCAGGCATGCACGTAATGCGAGGCGGACAGAGAGAGAGAGAGAGAGAGAGAGAGAGAGAGAGAGAGAGAGAGAGGGGGGGAGGGAGAGAACGGGCTGAGCAACGTACGGACGTATGTCCGAGATAGCGTGCGACGAGAGACTCCCACCTGCCGCTGCCTGTCCTTGTGTGCGCAGTTAGTCATCGGTGCGTTTGCGCGTGACGGATGGCGGGTAGCAGAGCAGCAGGAAGCACGAGGAGCTTACCAACGAGTTCGAGTACGACGAAGCTCGTTCGTCAGCAAGCGGCGATTAAGTGCGGATAGGGAAAGTAGATTAGGACGGTTTCCGCGCCGCGAGAAATTGATAGCACCTCCGTCAGCGATATACACCGGCCGCTCCTGTGCTGCTCCTTCGCTGGAGTCTACGATTTTTCGCTTCGGCGATTTCACCAGGCCACCTAACCTCCTCGAGCGACCACCCCCTCTTCTGGGAGTCGCGCCAAAAAAGCGCCGATTAAAGCCGCCGAGCGAGCCGGCCCGCTTGATTTATGACCGCCGTGGTGAAAGTGCCATTAGAAGAATACCCTGCCCCTTCTCTCTTGGCCCTGCACCTCGTCCTACGCTCCAAGGATTTGTTAGGAGCTTCTCGCGCCTCTTATATACCGCTCTACTATTAGGTGTACAAATGAATAGTCCAATTCTTTCAGCTATATTCAAGGTTTATTTTAAAAGAAAGTAAATTAAATTGCTCAATCAAAGTATTCGCCGTTGCTTTCTATAACTTTAAGCCATCTTTCAGGCGGCTGATGAATTTCATCTCGGAAAAATGTTACGTCTTTGGACACGATAAAGTCGTCAAGCCATTTTCGGATCTCATTCACTGATTGGAACAAGACTGATTGGAATCGGACAAGGCGTGTTGCATCGACCGGAACAAGTGATAATCGGATGGAGCAATGTCTGGTGAATACGCCGCAAGTGCCGCAAGACGTCCCAGCCAAGACTCATTCTGGCGTCTTTTGTATTGGAAGCAATGTGTGGCCTGGCGTTGTCATGCAACAATTTCACCGGACGTTCTCCCAGTTTGCCAGTATACGGGCGTTTTCGTTCCAATTCTTGACTCAAGCAGATTAATTGACGTTGGTAGCAGTCCGCGCAGTAACTGTTTCACCCGGTTCCAACAACTCATAATAAAGCACGCCCTTGATATCCCACCAAATGCAGAGAAGAACCTTCTTTCCGAAGCGATTGGGTTTTCCGACCGATTTTGATGATTCGCCGGGATTTACCCATGACTTTCTGCGTTTCGGATTGTCATAGAGTATCCATTTCTCGTCGCCCGTAACGATTTTCCACAAGAAAGACTCTCGACGCTGCTTATTGAGAAGAGAAAAACACGCTGCCACTCGTTGATTTTTGTTGGTTTCAGTGAGTTCATGCGGAACCCATTTTCCTCCTTTCTGGATCTTTCCCATCTCATGTAGGAAATGTTTGGAAATCGTTTGCTGCGTTACTCCCAACTGTTCTGCAAGCTCTTTTTGTGTTTGTGCCGAATTCGCAGCGAGCAGTTGTTCCAAATCATCATTGTCGCACTTCCGAGGACCTCCGGGGCGTTGTTTGTCGATTAGACTGAAATTGCCGCTTTTAAACCGCTTAAACCAAAATGCGCACACATCGTACGATGCAACACCTTCGCCGAGAAAGGAACAAATCGATTCGCACGCTCTTGCAGCATTTTTTCCTTGCTGGAATTCGTAAAGAATGCAGTGTCGGATATGCATCTTATCTGTTGCCATTTTCAACTGTACTGAACTGAATACTTTTGATGGTTATGTTGGGCCTTTTGCCAAAGTATATGTTCTTTTTAATAGCTATATGTCAACATTGCATAATCACAAAAGAGCGGGAAAATCTATTCAATTTAAAATTGATTTCATAACTGCTTAAAATAATTTGGATTATTCATTTGTACACCTAATACTTGGCCCATCTCTCCTGTGCAAGCGCGTATGCGATTTTTTTTGCGGCCGTTAAGCCGGACATGAGGCCGTGCACGTAGATCAAAGCGGGTAGAATTCCCAGTCGATGCGAGATATTTTCGGAATTTTCAAACAACTCACAAGTGAACGAACACGCGCGCGCGCGCGAGACGAGTGACGCAGCCGAGTTCGAAACTTTGTATTATAATAATAAATCTTGCGTATTCCGTTGCTGCAATTGCAAGCGGCTCGAGCAGACTCGGTTGCCTCATCTGCCCTTTCGCGGGGCTGAAGATAATGATTTTTGCGCGATCAATCCTTTGCGCTTTCGAGGCTCGCGGCTCGATTTCACTCGCGGCTGGAGTCTGACAAATTCGATCTCCACCGACAAGTTTCAAAATAACAAACACGGGACGTAACGATATGCCCATTTGCAAATAACGCAAATAAACGTAGGTAAATAACAAGTAAACTCGTATCGAAAATATCGAAATTTATTCGGATGAAATTTTACTCGCTGTTTCACTGTAAATAAATATCAACCTCCATCCTTTCTCCTTTCTTTTATTTACGAACACGAGGAACATATATTTTTGTTTTGTTGAAATTTAATTGACACAACACCGAGCCTGGATTGCGAATTAATACGTGATTTTTCTCTCGCTTTCCGCAAAATAATAGTTCACCTGCACGAGAAAGAAGAACCTTGGGGTTTGTGCTGTCAAAATTTTACGCTCGATCAAGGTCAGGCGGAGTGAATGTAAAATTGCATTACCGTTTGAAGAAAGAGATTGATATTTGGGAGAGTACGCCGCGGAACGTGCCGTGAATTATATTTGCCATATTACTCAATTTTAAAGTCTATTAAGAAGGGATCGAGAGAGGATCGGGACTCGATTAAACTTTCGGCATGGAAATTTCCTCAGGTGTTTACGACAGTGTCCCAAAACTTTCTCCGTTTTATTCTCCCGCGTAGCAGAGTAATTATCGATCGTGCGGTAATTAGTCTCGGCACGCGCACACGCCCAAAGTTTTCGTAATTATAAAACTCGAAACGGTTTTCCAGCCTCGCGTTCGAGCATGGATGCCACACAACCGTTGTTTCTCACGACGATTTACACGTACCTTTTTTTCAATCAGGTATTTATCTCTCGCATCTCCGACAAACTATTCTCTTTCTCTCTCTCTCTCTCTCTCTCTCTCTCTCTCTCTCTCTCTCTCTCTCTCTCTCTCTCTCTATCTGATCCATTTCATCTCAAAGCACACGGCGAGAAACCGTCGCGGGGGGATGAAAATTTAAAATCAGTCATCTCTCCGTCGTATAATATAATTACACGATTATCGATCCCGGGCGCTGCGAATAATAATTCAAAGAATGACATACTGTGCGGCACGAACGCCATTATAAAGTAATCGGTCTCATTGTGAAAGCAGCGGCGATTGTTATCGCGGCGAAGTGGGACTCGATCAATTACTCATGAGCTTCGAAAAGCGGCGCAATTTACTTCGCCATCTACATTTATCTCTCCATCTAGTCGAGGAGAGGGCAGGCTGTCGCACGAAAGGACGGCCTCGTCGTTGCCGGTCATCTTGCTGCCGGAATGAAAAATAACCGCGAACTTCATTTCCCCGGGAACGTGCGCCCCGCTTCTCCGCGCTTCTCTTTCACCGAGCGAGGAACGCAGAGATGAAGACAGCCCGCGACGACGCTTCAACGAATTCTATTCTACACCTCCCGTGATAGCAATAGCGATATCACGGAGGTGATAAATACCGCCGACAAATACTGTAAACGCTGTATATTCACTCACCAGAGCGTTCCTGACGGCCACCAACTTGTCGCCGACGACCAGACGCCCGTCGACCTGGGCGGCTCCGCCGTCCATGATTTTGGTCACGTAAATCCCATTGTCGCCCGGTATATGCTGATTGCCGATACCGCCGGCAATGCTGAAGCCGAGGCCCTTGTTCCCCTTGATCAACTCGATCTCCATCAGCTGCGTGTGCCTCCGCCGACGTACATACTGAAAATCAATCGCGGACATGGCGTTAATTGAGCGAGCCCGGAAGACGCCGCTCGGCTCGCCGGAGAGTGACTTCCGACGGGAGGCCCGACGACGTTTGAATTTAACGACAGTGCGGCCCGGATATCGGCTACGTCCGAGAAAGAAAAGGGGACAAAGAGATACACCCCCTCCCCCCCGCCCTTTCATCCCGGTGTAACAATGAATCCACGTAATTAAATGCCCGCCCGATAGCCTGATCGGAGAGATATATCCGTTCTCGAACTCCTCTCCTCGTTTACTCTCGGCGAGATTTATAAAGTGGATTTGTTCCCGTTCGGCGGGACTCCCCTCAAAGGCCCGTTCATATCGCCCGTTAAGATCGTTCTCGCCGCGTTAATTAAACGCTTCTCGAAAGTTAAGATAACGCCTCGCGCGTCTCGCGATTCACGATACGATCTGTCGGCGAGTCAAGCGAGATGATCGACGAGGTACGCGCGTGGTCCGTCGCGATTTTTCAGTCGCGAAGCGAATGGACCGAGCGAGGCAATTTTGCGTGCGAGTGAAGGAATGTCGCGATATAACGAGTAATACGATGGCGTTAAAATCATTCGCGATTAATCGGAGGCGATCGTCCGCGGCGATGTTCGTGAAATTCGAAACGCGCGAGAGGAGAGCGTACTTCCCCTCCCCCTCCTCTCTCTCTCACTCTCTCTCTCTCTCTCTCTCTCACTCTCTCTCTATCTCCCGTTATTATTCAATCTATTTCGTAAGTACGCAATAAACAGAACGATGATTGTGTACGAGAGAAAAATACGGTAATTTGACAGAATTACACTCGCGCTCTGTGTACACGTAACAACAAATCGACGAGCCACCCGTAGCTTTAGCATCAATTATTTATAATTAATTAACGCTTAATTATTTTAGAGCAACGACCAACCGCGCGCGGGGTACCCGCCCGGTATCGAATTAATTCGGCAAATATATTAAGCGCGGAGTGTTTTGTAAACGAACGTTTAGGCGTTTCACAAAAGACAACTCGCTGCCGGAAACTCGCGTTTCATCGCGAAGCACGCGAGTAACGCGAAAGCGGCAGGTCGCATCTGCGCTTTTTCTCGTCGACCGTCTTACAGCCGGGGGCGTTTATCGCCCACACGAGGGATGCGGCGGACTTTACGCCGGAATAATAATATCCGAGATGGCCGGGCGGAGCCATCAACCGCTTTTATGTCCTGCTCATCGTTATTCCCCGACCGGAAGGGTTAATAACGTCGCTGCTGAGTCGCGCGATCTCTTCGAGTTTCTCCTCGAGAAAGCGCGTCGCTGTGTATGTTGAAAAAAGAAATCCTCACCCCCGGAACGTCTTCTCATCGGCCTCGATTTACAGCGATGGAAACTCACCGGCGGATCTCGCTCGAATCGTTCGCATCGAGAGACGTCGGCTGGCGCGTCGCGAAAATCTCGCGATGAAAAGTTGCCCAACGAGAGCGAGCGCGACTTTCCAATTAAAACGCAACGCGTCGATTCCGAAAAAGAGCCAGCCACGGCACCGCTACAGCGGGAGGGAAAAAGGATCCCACCTGGGGATCCTTTTTCCCTCCCGCTCTCCGAGGGTGACATTAACGTATATCCGAGAGGCGCGTAACGAACGATCCTATCGAAACTTTCCCTCATCCCTCGGCGACTTTGCGGAGCTACAGGAATCTCGCAAGCTGAGCGACCGGCTGAGTGATCGTCGCCTCGAGACTTTTCCCGGCGTAAGCCGAAGATATTCGACGGGGCTTTATGACAAATATGGAATCCGGCAGGACGCCAATCTCGCGGAAACTTTGCGGGGACTCGGAGGCGTCGCCGGGAGAGGCCGACGACGTCGGAGAGGAGAAACCGCGCGGTCCTCGTCGTCCTCGTCTCTCCCGATTCTCTCGCGAGAGGACCGACGAGACGAAATCGGGACGGTGAATAGCGCGTAATGTGAGCGCGTGCAAGCGAAAGGTTCAAGTGAAACTCATTCTCGTTGCGTAAATAAGAAGACTCTCCCCTGCCGTGCCGGCGCATTGTTATTCCTTCGACTCGAAGTCAAGGACAGTCGCGACAGTCGCGCACGCGTCGTTTGAGTAGACGACGAGCGGCCGGCGCATAAAATTCACGAAGCGCACAGCTGCTTGGGTATATAACGACTAGGCTGGCGGGGAGAAACGAACACGCGCAGGGCGCGAGCTTCGCGTCGGAAAGTGCGGGCATTACAACATTTGCAATTCAACGATTCCCCGACACACTCGTCGCGCAATTAAATCCGCACTGGAGATGATTAAATCCGCGTGTGTGATACGACAATGCGATTGCGGTAACAATGCACGGCCGCGCGCAGCGTTCGCGCACGGTTCAATTAAATTTCGACTCGGGATTTGCATACGTCAGTTCTCGCAGTTCAGTTACAACGTTACGATGTTCCGCGCGCTCACGTCAGTCAGCGTTAACCGGCGGAATCCGGCGAGCCGCGTTTTCTCCCCCCCCCCCCCGGGACCTCGCGAGCCGCCGTTATCACTAGGAGGCCGCGCGATCGCGATGGAGCTGCCGGCGGCTGGATATCGCGAGATATCCTGACAACTCCGCGCGCGCGCGCGGAAATAGACAGGACCGCGGCAGCGTAGGTAGGTCCCTCACTGCGAGGGCAATTACAGGGTGAGAGGCTTACCAGCTTGACGGTGTTGCCGGCCCGCTTGAGCGCGTCCACGGCGGCCGCATGCGGTACGTCGACGACGGACACGTCGTTCACCTGCAGTATCGTGTCGTTGACACGCAGACGCCCGTCCGCGGACGCGGCACCGCCCGGTATGAGCTTGGTGATGTAAATGGCGGTGTCGTTGCCGTAATGCGGGTTGTCCGTGCCACCGGCGATGCTGAAGCCGAGGCCCGCGCCTCCCCGCTCCAAAACTATCTCCTCGTACTCCCAGTCATCGTCGCCGTTCACCTGCAAGCACAGAAATTGCGCGCGGCCTCGCGTTACTCTCATCGTATTCTCCGCCCTCGCCTCTGCTTTTCTCCGGCTATACGGTATACAGCTACGTATAAAACTGTATTTTATATAATATATGCAAATTAATACATAAAAACATTAACCTTCTAATCTAATTAACTAGCCAGTCCATCGTCCTATTTATCCACCCGTGTGTCCTGCGGACACCCAACTGTCGACGCGACCGCGGAAAGCGCTAAGGATCGCGCGCTGCGGTGACGCTGCGAGTCGCCGAAGGGTTAGAAAGCGGGACGAGGGGCGGGAGAGAGGCGATTATCGAAACAATTAAGAGGGGCGCGGACTAACGGGAGCCGAAGGAGCCTCCTCGTTAGCTCTCCTGAAGAGAAAGGACCGCGCTCTGGCGCGAGTCCAGGGTCAGCGGCGGCGTGCGAGCGGCCGGCGCGGATGCGAAATCCACGAGCCTAATTACGTCGGGGACTCCGAGAGCCCTCACGTGCGCGAGGGTGGGGTTAAACGGTTAATTGATTTTGAGGCTCGCGGCGCGAGCCTCGGGTCGATGACGGTCGGTTACCCGGGGACAAAGGGCGTCGCTCGGCCCTTCGACAGCAGCTGACGCGCTCGACGAGACACTGTTTCCATGTTTCGTCGAGAGCGAGAGCGAGGGCGAGACAACGTTGCGGCCGGCCTGCCCTTCGACGAGAGAGGGGAGGAGAGTTTGACAGGCAAAGTAAAAAAGTAGACGCGCAAAAGGTGACGCGGCGGCTCGCAGCGAGATCTCGTTCTCTTCGATTAATCTCCAGCGGACTTGATCTCGTCGGGAGTCGACGCACGTGTGGGAAATTCCGAGGGCCGGTGCGCGTTCGACAGACTGGTAAAGAAGCTCGTTCACCGGTCCGCCGCTGCTAAGAGACCCCAATTAACTTGGGGCAAGGCCGACGCGCGTATTAATATTCCACAACGGCAGGATAATTAAAGGAGGTCGCTCTTCGATCGGCCGGGGTCTCCGGCGCTTTTAACTTGCGTGTCAAAGTACACCGTGTGTGCGCTGTCGAGCGAAATCGGGTATGTCAAAAGAGCATCGGGAAGAACAATCGGGAAAAAAGACAGACAGAGAAAGAGGGAGAGAGAGGAGAGAGGGAGAGAGAGGGAGGGGGGAGAGGGGGAGAGAGAGAGAGGGAGAAGGATCATTGAACATATTTTTTACATGTCCTTACTACCGTCCGCGCTACAAGTGCCAGATTTTCAGTGATCGCGTCTGTTTGGCAACGGACATTTTCACCACCAATGACAACTTTGACAATTCTGACATCTCTGGACATGACACTCGCCAGCGAATATTCTAGTATTCTGACAATTAATTGCTTCGATTCTTTCTCCTTTGCTTACAATTTTCACCGAGGAGAGTCCGAGCGGAAGGACGGAGTTCGAAGTGAGGGTGGATTTTTCTCTCCGCGCTGGAAATTTCGCCCGATCTAGCAGCGCTTGGCTCTTCCTCGCCCTTCATATTTATTCAATTGACCGAGAGAAAGAGACGCTCGGAAGGGCGTCGCGAGCGCGTTTCTGCGAGCACGACGCACGAGCAAGCAGATTGCGCAACGCGTTTCCCGGCGTTCAGAAACACGACGTCCCTATCGTGCGAGTGAAATGGCGAGGCTAATTGAATTAGCAACGGCGGATGCGGCGGAAAACTTGCGCGATTAACGCGATTCCTCGGGGAATTGTACGCCTAATGAAATAACACGGATTTCGCAGGAGCGGATACACTAAATGGTCCTTCACGTGCGCGATCGCAATGCAATTATGCGCGATCCAGCGGAGCGTGCAAAACCATTTTAATCGGATCAAAAGCCAACTAAGCCCCGGCATAATGCGCCGGAGACACGTTCCTGCTCGCACGCGCGCTGCTATCAAACGCGATACGTTTCGCATTCGTGTACACACGTGTGTACAATGTGTGCAATCGCGAACGCACGAAGAGCCAAGTATGTTGCGCATGACGAGCGTCTTCTCGACGAGGCACCACGCGGATTATCGCCGAGCACGCGCTCGGCGCCGTCGAGAGACGACACGCGTTGCGTCACGTCGATATCAAATCTCACAGCGACACCGATACGATCGCAGGGCGTTGATACGATTAGGGATATTGTGCAATGTTCTTATATCGTACACTGCAAGCGCGAGTGCGTTAGTTGGACTCACACGGGCGTGTAATCGGCACAGGCTTTCTTTACACGTTTCCCGCGGCCTGAAATCACGCCATTTCACTCCTTTCGATGTCATTTAACACGTCTGAAAGTCCGAAATGACATGATTCGAGGCGACACGACGTGCGAAGAAAGCTTCAGCTTTTACACGCCCATATGCGTTAAAAGAAAAAAAAAAAAATATATATATATATACAGGGTATCTGTAAAGTCCGACCCCACCCTTGGATCTCGGAAAGGACTTTAAATATGGAAAAATGTTTCGGACAAAAATTGTAGGATATTAAGGGGGACACATGATAAAAATATGGACTTGATCTTGAGTGACTTTATCAAGGCCAGGTTAATGTGATCGATGTTTTCTTAAATGGAACCTCCTATTTCTTATTGCATATTCTTGTAGACGTTTGTCAAGACGTTTTCAAAATACTACCTATTTTTGTTTTTCTGCGCAAGCTATTCCCAAGATATGAAGCTTCAAAGTTGGAGTCAAAAAATACTACGGGAGTGACGAACCGGGGTCCTTATCTCTACTGTGACACACACACACACACACACACACACACGCACACACAAGAGGCGTAAATCCGACCGTGCAACCTCCACGCGGTACACCTTGGGTAATGCGAATACGGTATGTCAACTTTGAAGCTTCATATCTTGGGAATAGCTTGCGCAAAGAACAAACATAGGTAGTGTTTTGAAAACGTCTCGACAAGGGCTACAAGAATATGTAATAAAAAAATAGGAGCATTTTTCCATTTAAGAAAACATCGATCACACTGACCTGGTCTTAATAAAGTCACTCAAGGTCAAGTCCATATTTTTATCACGTGTCCCCCTCAATATCCTACAACTTTTGTCTGAAACATTTTTCCATGTTTAAAGTCGTTTCCAAGACCCAGAGGTGGGGTCGGACTTTACAGACACCCTGTACATTCGAATTTGTGACACGCAGTCGCGCAGGAATTCCTCAAAATGTTCCACCCCCGAAAGAGAGATCGCGATCGCACTCGCTTTGACGAGAGAAAGAGATAGAGACACAGGCCAATTCGCCGGGCGAAATCATCCACGAAAAGGGCTCGCATTCGCGATATCGTTCCGCGGACTTACGCGCTGTGTTTGCACGTCGGGGGAGGCATCGCAGGGGCGAGGGGAACGCGCGCGACCCGATATCGTCATCACCGCGCAATTACGCGTCTGTTCGCGTGCGTGCCATTCCGATCGCGTCCGTGTACAAACGGACGCGATCGCAGCTGCGGAAGGCGAAAGCTGCTCCTCCCGATCGGCGCATATCGGAATGCATTCCCCGGCTGCATTCCGACCCTGGCCCCGCTGTGCCGTTGCCATTATCATCCCCTTACCGCCCGCCGAGCCGCGCCATCGCGTATCGAGACAGCCGCCGCCGCCGCCACCGCCGCCTCCGCACAGATTTGACGCACGCAATGCGCCCGATGCATATTGCGGAATCGCGAATTAATCACTTCGGAATTATGCTATTCTGTCGAGCCTCTCCCCTCCCCTCTCCTCTCCTCCCGTCGTCGTCGTCGTCGTCCTCTTTATGAGCGCGCGATGCGACCAGGGCGGGAGAATTCGCCGGACCGGCAACGAGCCGCGAGCGTCAGCGACGTTTTGGCGTCGCTGCAACGCGCAGCCCGTCAACGTCGCGCCGCAATTATCCTCGAGCGCGCGCGCGCGAATTAGCCGGCGATTAGCGGCACGATTATGCAGCCGTTCGCCAATTAATCGTGCCGGGAGAGTGTCGCGCGCGCGCTTACCGGATTTGTTTGACGGCTCGTTGAGCGGCGCCGATTAATTAGCCCGCGCGCGATCTGCGCACGGCGGACACGCATTCGGCCAGTCGTCGCGCGGGGATGCGCCGAGATTGCGGACCCTTCGTCCTTATCATTAGCTGTTGCCGGTGTAGGCGATCCTATCGTGCGTCTGCTTCCGATATCTTCATGGCATTCGCGACGTGACAGAGCGCGATGCTGATTTTCGCGACGGACCGCTGAGACGTCACGCGGCTGTCACGAACGTCGCGCCGCTGCGTGTCTCCTTCGTCGAGGATTCGCGCTCGTCGTTGGCGTCGTTGGTTTCCTCGAGAGCCACGCGCGATGGCACAGTGAGCGTGTATTTTAATTCTTCGCAGATTGCGCGCCAATGTAGCGAGTACTCGTTTCGAGCGGCCGTTCAAGACGGTACTATATAGTGAATAATACGACGCGTTATCGATGTTTGCTGGATTTTTTCTCGACACTGCAAATATAAACGTCGCTCATTCATTAGCCATCGCGTCGTACCGCTGTAGACCCGATCGATTACATAGTGAAGTACGAGACATTGATCTGCGCGCAAGGCTAACCTAAACCGACAACAGCCTATCGAGTCATAGCGCGATACGATGATAACACAGCAGTCGGGCGATTTCGTTGAACGAATGTCGATGTTCAAGCGGAGCAACCAGGGAAGGGAGAAGACGAGAAACGAAGCGAGCTCAAAGTCAAGCAGCGGTCGCCTCTGTTCGAATCGATCGCGCGCCTCTTCCTCCGGCGGCGGTCTTGAACGACCGCAAGGGCGGAAGTCGCGATAACGGATAAACGAGCGTGTTCCGGAGCCGTCAAAGGGCGAACCATCGTTGTAAATCACGCGACCTCGCAAGAGAGATCGCGTTCGATCGACCGAAAGACAGAAAGGCAGGGAGAGAAAGAGAGAGAGAGAGAGAGAGAGAGAGAGAGAGAGAGAGGGAGAGAGAGAGGGAGAGATGTTGTAGGTCTCTGCGACCGCTAA